GACGACGTCAGCCCCCACTCCACCTCCCTCACGAGGGCCTCCAGAGGGCCCTAGGCCTTCATCAAGGCCAGCAGCACGCACGGCGGCGTCCACCGCACGTGAGGCGTGCCGATAGCATTCGGGGGTGAGGGCAAAATAACGCGTCGCCATCGAACTCAGAAGATCCGTGGGCTCGCATCGCTTCGCTCGAAGGGCCTTCAAGGAATCGGTCGTCCTCGCGAACCTGTTGCAATTCAGGCACCTGTGTTCAGATAGCCTCTCACAGAAACGAAACTCATGCGAGTCTAGCACAACCCGTGGGGCGGCGCCGTCACGACAAACCTGAGACGGCACAACTTCCCTAGGTTGGAGCTAAACATTCTTTTTGGCGACCGCTTGGGCCATCCAAGCAAAAACCTGCGAATGGTCTTTGGCCGCCTTCATGGCTTGCTTATAATAATCCTGCATGGTCTGGCCAGTAGAATGCACCTGGGCCCCACGCTTGGCGAAGAAGTCAGCCCGCTCGTTAGCAACGAAACGGACACAATCGCAATCTGGGGCCTCCAAAACCTCCGAGAGCTCTCTGTGCGCAGGGACCCACTCGAAGGTAGGAGGAGCCTCAGGACAGTGCCGACGTATTTTTTCCCACACTGCCGCGTGACGGCCGCCAGAGGAGGCAGCGGCCTCCGACCAAGCACACCCCTCACGCACAAGATTCAGGTGATCGGACACTATGATCGCAGGCTGCTGCGCAACTTCGACTGCTTTGAGCGCTGCGTAGTGCTCCGCACGTGGCACCGTCTGTACCGCTCCTGGTAGCGCGCCAAAAATTGCACGCAAAACGTTGCCAGCCTCGTCGACCTCCACCACAGACCAGCCGCAGCGGGCCAGCTCTGGGATCGACGACGCTTGGCCGCTTCCGTCAGTGTACACCCTCCGCCCCCATCGCCCACGCCAGTCCCCCCATCCCAACACAGGATACACATCGCTCGGGGGCGACAGCGCTGGTGGCTCGGGCGGCAAACCGAAGCTGAGATAAGATTGATCCGCTCCAGATTGCGAATTATTCTTGGCCTTGATGGCCTTCCTCAGCTCGAGGACATAATCTGGAACAGGCACGTCCAACCCGTCTAACATGGCATCGCACTCAAACCATTGGTGAGACTCGTTGCCTGTCGCCTGCTTGCATACAAAACACTGCGGGGAATTGCGGATGCCAGTGCTGTGCAACCGCTCGGGGGTCCAAGCACCGCACGACCAAAGCGTACGCAAGGCGCCTCGCCTCACAACGTCTCTTACAGCAAGCACTGCTTTCCTCATTCCCCTCCTCCAGCAGCTCTCTCCAAGGCTGTTGGGAAGGTGCTGAAGGACCCTATCTACTTGCCAGCGGCGAAGGCTTTCCTCCAGGAAGGCTTTCACATCACCTGGACACTGCCTAACTAAATCGACGTGGCGACCTCGATCGTCCACAAGCACTGTTGGAGAAAACATCGTCCAACCCACGCGCAGAAGCGTGACCCAAACAGAGGCGATGGGGCCACGGGCTCTGGACCACGAGGTGCGTTGGTCAAGCTTCGCCTCGACCGCATCCCAAGCTCTACGGAGCCGTCCAGGCGCGACCCTATTGTCCCAGATGAACGAGGCAAACCTAACCACCAAAGGAACCGTCGCATCAAAAATAGGGTCGAACCTGCCGTCTCGCTGCGTTGCTAGAAACAGGGTGAGCGACGCCTTGGGCTTGGCCCCGCACATGCCTCCAGCAAACGTCCGAAGCTCACGAATTGCTGTGTCAGATATCCCTGACACTCCAGCGCCGTGGCCGCCAGCTGGGAGGAGCCCCGTCCTCCACAAGGATTTCGCGGCCTCCCCCGCGGCGTGCTTCAAACCCCACACGTTGCGCCTACGAGCCTTGAGATTCTTAAGACGCATCTTTTCTTGCACACGCAAGACTCTAGTGCCGTGCGCCTCGTGACCTAGATTGCGCATCGCTCGCTTCGCTCGCATACGAAGAAGCATCACCAATCGAGCGAATCTATCTCGGCCTCGGCTCGTGTTCGCAACAAAACCTGACTTGCTCGGCTGGGCGACTAACCCGAGCGGCCTCACGCTGAGACAAAAACTGTGTACTGCATTGGCCAAGTCTCTAGCCTGGCCGTCGCTCTCTCCCTCCCTGGTTCGCTCGCCAGACCAGTGGAAGCTCACATCGTCGATCAGTGCTCGTGGCTTGACCGTGGGGTATATAGTCATGCAATCCTGCAAGCTTCTATGCAACAAAACCCGCAGCATTGTAGTGGCCCATGAGCAGCCTGCTAGGATACCCTGATTAGACTGCACTGGCAAAGACAGGGAGGCAAAGGCACGCAGGCAGCGAGGTTGCAGATACGTCTGGATCGTCATCCATGCTAATCTCATCGGGAACCGATTCAGCCTAGCCTCGTGAAGCAGGCTCTGCAAAATAACAGTCTCATAGCATTTCAACATATCGATAAAAACTGTGAGGCTGTCCTCTCCTAACTCGTGCGCAATCTCAGCCTCAATATTCAAAGAAAACGCGCTATCCGAACTCGACTTACCAGCTCCCGTCCCCCAGAAACAATCAAGGTCATGCTCCACCTCCCAGGCGGCCGCAATGGGCCTGCGGGCTCTGCCCCAAACTCTCAGGAGCGTGTTCAAGAGCGCGATCAACCTACATCCTCCCGACGCCTTGGGGAGGCGAACAAGCTGCGTCAGCAGTCTGCGTGATGGCCAGATCAAGAGACTTTCACACTTCATGAAAAGCTTCGCTAAGGCCGCCAGGCCTGACTTGCTCAGACAAATTAAACTGCGGGTGGCAAAACTGAACTGGCCGACTCCCGTCGCCCATGGAAGCTGAAGAATGGCGCGCTGCAAGTCCTGCACAGTCAAGGGTGGGAGCTCTTCCCAGTCCTTCGCTTCAGCTGGCAACTGTGGGGCGGCGGCATCGTGCATCGACCAGATCTCCTCCCAATCCCTCATGGCCTTATCGGCGAACTGATGCGGCTGGGCAGGCGTGCGAGCGGTCACGTTTGCATTAACCACCTCCTGCAACGCTCTCCCTTTCGTGTGCCTATTCGCGAAGCGCGCGCCGTTAAAGAAGCTGGCTGCCGCCCAGTCCCTCCAGGCTTTGGCGGTCTTCTGGCTGTGTGCCTCAGCAAGCTCCGCTGCTTTGGCCTCGATTGCATCCAGCGCTGCATCGACTTCTGGATGGGCGAGGAACTCCATTCCCAAGAGAAAGAAGTCAGACGCCCAGCTGTCGAGCTCGCTGAGCACGGCCGTCTCAGACAACACCTTCGCCACGAAGCGGCCTAGCTCAATCATCAAGCTCGACAGCGTGTGAAAATGGGCCATGTCCGACGCCCCTGCCACTTGCTGCTGACTTGCCTTCGCCGTGACATTAATGATAGCCTCCTTCGCCCTACGCATGTGTCGTGCCCACCTGGCCGCGACGCACCACGCATTGGCTGCTTTTGACAAATATGAACGTTTCTGCTGTGGTTGCCACTGCAGCTTGACCATCTCGAACTCTGACGGGGCCACATGCTCCAACGAACGGCTCGACCTTGGTGCCGACGACGTCATGCCTGGCAAGCAGCTCTAATTCAATTTGGCTCAACACAACATCCCATGCCACTTGCAAACTGCTATCGTCACACGCGGCATCTATAAGACGTGCCACTCCATGCCAACATAGCGGAAACCTCGATCAGCCTGGTTTCGGCTGCTTGGGCACGGAACGCGGCCCACGCAGCTCACGATGAAACGACTGGATGTCCTTGCCACTGGTATGCATGTACACTGGCAAGTGTGGAAAGGTGGTTGTCGCCTCCTGAACGCACGGCTGCTCTACTCGTGTCATCAAGTTAGACGACGTGAGGAAATAGTCGATGCAACTACCAGGCATAGCCTGTCTACATGTGGTCGCAGTTGGAGCCCGAAGCATACCACCAAACCCGTGTAGCCACCGCATATCACCGAACTGGGGCGCTTCGATGTTGAAATCTCCTGCCACAATCCAATCGTAGCCTGCGTGATTCAATCTTTCCAGATAGCTGCTGACCTCTTGCATGATGTGTAGGTTATTGTCAGACCAACCCTCATTGACATAAAGATACACTGAGACCAGCACCACTCCACCAGGAACTCCCCAGTGGACTTGAGCGGGCAAAGCTCGACCGCCAGCCAGTGCGGTCTGTCCGTTCAGGCACGGCCCGCGCGTGATCAGGACGTTCGGCCTGGCCAAAACTGCTAGCCCTGCCTGCGTGCCACCGTTGCCTGTGGGGTTGGCCGCTGCCCATATGCCTTGCCAGCCCGCGCCCAGCAAGCGGTGCTGTGCGTCCGCCAGATCATCATGAGCAACGTGATGTTCCTGCACCGCGACCACTGTGTGACTGCAGTGCACCATGTACTCAAGCAGCTGCTTCTCGGACGAGCAATTCAACGTCACGATGCTGCCCTTGTTGCCAGCCTGCTCTGTGGCCGCGGTCCCACTCGGGGCTGCGCTCCGTCCGTCGACGGCCCGAGTGGGCCCAGGGGGGTGGGGCGAGGCATCGACCACCCGCGCGTCCGCGGCTCGCCTATCACGCCCCTTGCCACTGCCTTGGGCCGCTAGGCCTCCCTCGCCATGACCTGGCCCATCCTGCGCAGCGCCACGTCTGGGCCTGGAGTCGAGCGGCTGCGGACACGCCTGGGCCGCGGCAGCCCTCCCGCTCGGGGCGCTACGTCCGTCGACGTCTCGAGCGGGAGGTTGGGCGTGGGACGAGGCAACGGCCGCCCGCGCGTCCGCGGCTCGTCCTCCGCGTTGCCGCGGCCCTTGGCACTGCCACCGCCGCTCCGACCCAGGTAGTGCTCGCCGTCAGCACCAGCCTGCACCGTGGCCGGGGCCCCTCTCGGGGCTGCGCTCCGTCCGTCGACGGCCCGAGTGAGCCCAGGGGCGAGATGCGAGGCATCGACCACCCGCGCGTCCGCGGCTCGCTTAGCTCGCCCCTTGCCACGGCCTTCGGCCGCTAGGCCTCCAGCGCCATGGCTTGGCCCATCGCGTGCAGCATCGCGTCTGGGCCTGGAGTCGAGCGGCTGCGGACTCACCTGGGCCGCGGCTACCTTCCCGCTCGGGGCGCTACGTCCGTCGACGTCTCGAGCAGGAGGTTGGGCGTGGGACGAGGCATCGGCCACCCGCGCGTCCGCGGCTCGCCCTCCGCGCCCATTGCCGCGGCCCTCGGCACTGCCGCCGCCGCTCCGACCCAGGCAGTGCGCCCTGGCCACCTCAACATAAGCAGCACTGCCGCCAGGCTCCTGGAACAGTGGATTCGCAGCAAGCGACCCTGCTACCGTGCCCAGCGACGGCATAGCACTCACGGTACGAACCAGGCCCATCAAGCACACGACCAGAGTGCGTGCCGCGAGGTGTGCCGAGCCGCATCGTGTGCGCACCCAAGGCCGTCCCTCTCTAGGCGGGGACCTGGACCTTGGCACGCTTCTCACTTCTCCATTCATTGAGCCCTTCGGCCAGCTTGCGAACGCTCCCACGGATCGTTGCCTCGTCGGCCTCGGGCTGCACAGCAACACCAGCGTGCCCCAGGAAAGCACGCAGCTCCTCCAGGTCCGTGTCGTCTGGTGTTGGTACGTCGACTCCTCCAGGCTCAGACCTGGCATCGTCGTGAGGGGCGGCCTCCCGCTGCGGCTCAGAGTTCGCATGCTGTGCTGCCTCGGGTGTCGTCCGCCCCTGTCTCCTGCGCTCCTCCAGTACCCGTACCTCCTCCAAGGCCGAGTCCAACTTCGCTTGCAAGTGACCGTCGTCTCCGAGTCCTGCCAAGATGCCTCCCAGTTTGTCGACCGTGATGCCGAGGGCTGCCACAAGCTCGCCTGCCTCAGTAGCGGTCGGTGGAGGCCTCGGAACCGAAGACGCCAGCCTGGTTTGTTCTTCCGCAATCTGCAATATAGCCTGCTCAGCCTCGACCACCAACTGCTCCTGCTCGCGGATGGTCTCCTGCAGCTTCTGCAACTCCTTCTTGGCGGCCGCCAGCAGGCCCTCGTGCTTGGCCTTCTTGGTGTTCCACTTGGCCGGCTGGAGTGACAAAGAACGCAGCTGCGCAGGCACTGGCTTGGACGCCTCCAAGTCCATCCGCAGCCGCTTGCGCTCCACCTCGTAGTCCTTCCTAGCCTTCTCGAAGCAGGGGTCCTTGAGGTCCTTGATTGCCCGCATGGCCTCATCGATCTCGTCCAGCCGAACACGGATCTGAGCGGGGGTCTGCGGCGGCAGATCTCCACTCTCGACGTCAACCTCCATCGCGTTACTCTCAGACTTCCCTCCGGTGGCCAGCTGCTGCCGCGCTGCCGCCAGCTGCTTCTCCAGCTCCGCGACCTTGCGTGCATGCCATGGCGGCGGCTGCTCGGCAGTGGCCGCTCGGTCGGCACGCTGCTGCTTCTGAGAAGGCGCCGTGTGCTTGAACCGAGGCTCCAGAAAGGAAGAGGCCTTGGCAACTCCACACTTCTGACATGATACTTTATCCGATCTGTTCCACCATGCCGCGCCCGACACTGGGTGGACGCACCATCGACATACCCAATCCGTCGCCTCCGCCCGACGTCTCTGGGCATGTCTGCTCGTCTTCTGTGCCCGTCCATCTCCCTGAGACATCCGCGGCAGCAAGGTGATGTAACAAGTGACTGCTAAGGGGAGCGTACGTTCCCGAAGTAGCACGAGAAAGAAGAGGTACCTCCAGCCAGGGCAGGCAGAGAGGAGGTACGAGAGCCTTCGGGGGCCGCTGCTCCCCCACGCCAAAAACTCAGTCCTTGAGTGAAACACTACGGACTTGAGCCAAAATGGCTACGGACAAGAGGAGGAGGAGGAGGAGGAGGAGGAGGAGGAGGAGGAGGAAGGAGGAGGAGGAGGAGGGAGGAGGAGGAGGAGGAGGAGGAGGAGGAGGGAGAAGGAGGAGAGAGGAGGAGGAGGAGGAGGGGGAGGGGGAGGAGGAGGAGCAGGAGGGAAAGGGCGGGGCGCACATCCCGCGCGCAGGGCCGAGATGCCGCCCTCGCCCCGGCGCCGCGCCCACCCTTCCGCGGGACTGCGCTCCCGCTGGGGCGCGGCGCGCAGCTCCCGCACGCCGCTCCGCCGACGCGCGCGCGCGCGGACGCACACGTCGCTCTCGCCTCTCGGCGCCGCGCAGACGTCGCCTCGAAGTGGCGCTCCCAGCACGGCGCATCGCCGTCACTCGCATCCCTTTTGGGGGGGCCCGCTCGAGCGGGCGGCTTGCCGCCCTTGCCCAGGCTCCGTGCGCCACTCGGCCGGACGTGGCGCTCCCGCGCGGGCGCGGCGCATGGCTCGCTCGCCGCATCGCACGACAGCGGCAGCGGCCGCGGGGCCGCGCGAGAGCGGGCGAGCTGCCGACCTCGCCCATGGCGCCGCGCAATTCGTGGATGTGGCGACGCTGTGTCGGCGCGGCGCATGCTTCGTTTTCGCCGCGCCCGCCGGAACTCTTGTAACTCGTCGCCCCTGCGAGACCCGCGTCGTTTTCCTTTCGCCAGATCGTCGGATGCGGGTCCTCGCGCGAGCGCCGTCCGTTCGCTGGGCGGGAGCGCGTTCCAATCCCGAGGTCAGGTTGCACCACACTTGATTCGTACGTCACAGGCGTGAGGGTGGGAATAGGCGGGGTCCTTCTGACTCGCTCGATCTGGCTGACTTCACTCCTCCTCCGTTCACCCCCCCTCTCCTCGTGCTCATCCTCCTAGCCTCCCTCCTAGCCTGCCTCCTCCTCCTCCTCCTTCTTCCGCCCTCTTGCTCCTCGCCCAGCTGCGCAAGGCAGACAACCTGCTCTGCCCTTGCAGCCCGTTCTCCTCCGCCCTCTCCTGCTGCCGTTCCTCCTCCCCCTCCTCTTCCTGCCCTCTCCTCCTCCTCCTCCTCCTCCTCCTCCTCCTCCTCCTCCTTCCTCGTCTTTCTCCTCCTCCTCCCCCTGCCCTGTCTTCCTCCTCCTTTCCCCCCTCCTCCCTCCTCCGCGCGCGGCGGAGCGTCGCCCGGATGCGACGGAAACTTGCCCTTGCCCTTGCCCTTGCCGTCCTGCGGGGCGCACGGGCGATCTGCGCGCGCCGACCCGGCCCGGGTCAGCCCTGGGCGCAGGGTGGGCCTGGCGAGAGCCGGCGCCCCGTCCACCAGGAGCGCCAGCGTGGGCCCCGAGCAGTCGGCCCCCGCACGCCCGGCGCGAAAGCTCAGAGCAGGGGTGGTCGCACCAGCAGGAGGAGGAGGAGGAGGAGGAGGAGGAGGAGGAGGAGGAGGAGGAGGAGGAGGAGGTGGTTGCGGAGGGACCGGTAAGGACCTGTGCAGCCGGCTGGGGCATCGCGTGATGCCATCCATTGGGCACCAGGCCAGGAGCCAGAAATCCAAACGGACGGGGCCATCATGGGGCACCAGCCGTAGGGCACAAGCCATAGAGCACCAGTGCGCAACCAGACAAGTCATGACAGACTGGGCTGTCGTGTGGCGCCGTCCATGGAGCACCAGTCACAGGGCACCAGCCGAAGAGCACCATGGCGGCTACCAGACACGGCTGCAAACTGGGCGCATTCGGGCGAGCCCGCCACAGGTGCACCGCCCACAGGGTAAGCGGGCGGCAGCTGGAGAACTTAACCTGCACGTCCCCCCAGTGCAAACACTATTCAGGGGATGCTGCAGGGTAGGGATGCAAGACCCTTGGGCCGAACATAGTGGAACAATGATATAAACATAACAACTCAGAGTTCCGCGCGGATTTCTCGGATCGGCGCTTGGCACCCTGGCGGCGACTCTGGCGCCGCCCCTGGCGCGCTCCGCGCGCCAGGGAGGGGGGTCCAGCGCCGATCCGAGAAATCCGCGCGGACCTCTGAGTTTTGATGCTTATGTCATTTTTCGTTCCCCTAGAACAAGCTATACTGGGCCGAACAATCAGGGATGGCCCGAGATGGTGGGGATTGGCCGAGAGGGAACGAACACACACACACAAAGACAACCTCGACAAAACACGTACTGCATCCTGAATACCGTGGTTGACTGGATGTGAAGATAATACCGTAGGCTTATGCCGTGAAGACATCGGCCCAAGTTTCTGACACCGCGTGGACCGTGAAGCCTCGAACGATCTCTCTTCTTTCGGAGGTCGTCGGAATAGCTCCTGGCCCCACCTCTTGCGCTCGGCTTTCGCGCGCCGTGGGCCGATTCCCGTGGGCCCCTGGGGGCCCTAACCTTAAGTCGGGCCTGTCCCCCTACAGGGGGATTTTCGACGAACAATAAAAAATATCCCAACAAAAATCCAAAAATAGTCAGAAAATAGTCAGGGGACTTTTTTTTGAGTTTTTTTGACCTTTTGGGGGCATTTTGGGAGTATTGTTTATTTTTCTTCGAAAATCCCCTCTGTAGGGGGACACGCCCGACATAACCCCAACCCCGCCCGCGGAAGGTGCTCAACACGGAGGCCTAGAAATGGGCACCAACACCAACTCCGGGGGCTGCTTCCACAGGGAGAAGATGATCCAAGATTTCGGTCTTGGTGGTAATATTTCGGCCGCCTTGGAAGCCAGAATATTACCACCATCACCGAGATCGGGATCTTCTTCCTTCGGTGGAGGCACACCGCCGATGTTGGTGTTGGTGTCAACCTTTAGGCCTGCGATCAACCTGGAGCGCCCGCGCTGGCGTCGCCGCCGCGTCGACGCGGCGCGACCGTGCCGCGCTGGCGGGCTCGCGGCGCCATGACCTCCGCGCTGGCTTCTGCCGCTCTCGGCGGCGAGCCCAGGGGGGGGGGGGAAGCGAGAGGGACGGTAAGGGGACAAAAAAGTGGAACCCCTTCGTCGTCGGCCCCGCATTCGCCCCCCCCCCCGCTCCCCAATTTCAAAGTTGGGTTCGGCCTCTCGGAGGCCCTGGGGGTTCCACTCTTTTTGTCCTCTCACGCCTGTGCTGCCAAATGCTTGAGGCCAACTTTGAAATTGAGGGGAGGGGGGGGGTGGTGTCAATGGTTCCACTTTTTTGTCCATCTACGGGAGCGGGCCTTCTCGGAAGGCTCGGGAGTCCTCCGGCCGTCTCAACGTTTTCGAAGCCTTCCCCGAAGACGCAGGACACTTCTCAGAAGGCCGGAGGGCTTTTGAGAAGCCCCACCGCCCTCTCACTGCACCCCCTCGCTCGCCGCCGAGACACCGCGTGGTCCGCTGTCAGGCTGTCAACCTCGACCGATCCCGCCTGCCCGAGAGCGCAGATCGTTCGATGTCGGCCGATTCCTGGCCGCTGGCGGTGCTCTACCTTGGACGTCCGCGCCAGCGTCGCCGCGGTGTCGACGCGGCGCAAGGTTGCCGCAACTGCTTGGCCCATGCCTCCAGACACCCGACGCTTGTTCCATCCGCGCGCCCCAGGAGGTCCCGACCCCTTCCCGGAGGACAGCTCTCCATCCCGGACCGATTCGGGGATGGACAGACCTCCCTGTAGTAAAACGTGTTTTAGTGAAAACGACCTGAGGCCCAAACCTGGCGGGCGCAAGCCTGGAAAATAACGGCCACGGCGCCCCCTCGAGAACCGAAAACGGACAATTCACTAATCGACGTGTCACTGTTGGGGGTTCTGTCCACCCCGACCAATGTCTGATGGCCCCAGGGTCCCGAAGCGGCCCTCGGAGGCCTAAGACGAGGAAAAACGTCAGGGTTGAGTGCAACAACAATCCGCTGCAAGGCTGGGCCTCGCCCAGCCCGACCCGGCGAAGCGAGCCGCGGCGAAGCGAGCACGGGCGGCGGAGCGAGCAGGGGCAACAAAAAGCGAGCCCGGGCCGAAGCGAGACCTGGGCGAGGCGAGGCGACTCCCGTGCGCCGACGCAGCACGCGCCCACCGTAGGCGCACGGCGCGTGCACCTGGACACTGCGACCCTGGCCAAGCCCATCCTGGACCCAGCATCGGTGCATGCGCCCTCCTGGTCTGGCCAGGACAGCGCATGCACCAACTTGCCATCGCTCGGACGTCCATTCCTGGTGCATTCTCTGGTTTCGTGCGTTGGTTGTATCGAGACATGGTCCAATACGCTCCTCGATGGCCTCCGCCGAGAACATGCACATGTCCGAGCGATGCCGAGCCAATCCTGGGCCCAAGCTCGACCTGGCCAAGATTCAACATGGCATCGAACCGCCGCAGGGCTTGGCCTGGGGCCCCAAGGATATTCTAACCCGAGCCAAAATCCAGACCCGGGTCAGTCAGGCCTTGCAGGACCCTGCAAGAGCCTGCTGGATCCTGCACCCAAGCCCGGGTCGATGCAGCCCTGGCTCTGCAGCATCCTGCAAGACCCGGCGCTCTGACTGACCCCCGTCTGAACTGACCCTCGGGGGAGGAGGAGGAGGAGGAGGAGGAGGAGAAGGAGGAGGAGGAGGAGGAAGAGGAGGAGGAGGAGGAGGAGGAGGAGGAGGAGGAGGAGGAGGAGGAGGAGGAGAAGGAGCAGAAGGAGCAGGAGGAGTCTCTTGAGCCACGAAGGCCCCTGCCGTCCTCGCCGCCGTCGGGCTGCTGCTGCTGGAACTGCTGAGGCTGCCCCTGCGGCTGCCACTGCTGCGCCTGTCCCTGCGGGGACATGGCGCCTGGCGCCGCCGCGCCGCCCCGCTGCCCGGGAGGGGTGGGTCGGGCAACCATGAAGAGAGGAGGGGGCGAGGAGCTAAAGGATGATGATGATGCCGATGATGACGACGATGATGATGATGCTGATGGTCATGATGGTGATGGTGATGCTGCTGCTGCTGCTGCTGCTGCTGCTGCTGCTGATGATGATGATGATGATGATGATGATGATGATGATGATGATGATGATGATGATGATGATGATGATGATGATGATGATGAGGAAGAGCAGGAGAGGGAGCAGGAGAGGGAGGAGGAGCACGAGGAGGAGGAGGAGGAGGAGGAGGAGGAGGAAGAGGAGGAGGCTGAACTTGAGCAAAAACGTCTTGCAACACGAATTCCGACCGAGAGACCCTCCTATGACCCTGGCCTTCGCTCCTGCGTGCAGCGCGCACCCACGCAGAAATACCCCGCCTTGCCGCCCCGTGAAAGCCCGACGGCCGCGGGGTGCAAGCACAGCGGGGCTAGGACCAGGCGTCTAGAGGACCCCCTGGGCCACTGAGGCCCTTGGCCGCTTGGGCCCTCTGCTTAGATGCAACGTCTTCGGCCTGCCCTTGGAGCCTTCGACCCCAACCGCTGGGCTTGGGCCAACGGGGGCCCGAAGGACGGCAAAACTTCCGGGACAGCCGGCCTCTTCGGGCCGTCGGTCGAGGAACCCGTTTGGGCTACTTCGGAGCACCATTGGGGCGGGCCTGGTCCACGCCCGAGCCGTCCACGAAAGTGCGCTCTCCGTTTAGGTGTTGCCCGAGCTCGAGCCAGCGGGTGGAGCGCCGAAAGAAGTCACCCGCGGGCCACTTCGGCCGCTGAAGGAGCGCAGACATGTCAGCGACGAGCCCCCTGGTGAACAGCTCCGTGAAAGGGTGGCCAAAACCCTCGACTGCGCCGGCGGCCTGCTTCAGCGAGGGGCCAAAGAACTCGTGTCACCATCCACCGTGGGCCTCGCACTTGAAGCGCCCGTGGTCGAAGGGGGCCGTCCTTGAATCCAAGCTGCTGGCAGTCTGTCGGGGCCGAGGGGTTCACCGCGCCGGCCCTGGCCTCGCGCCGATAGGTGTTCTGGACCAGGCTGCGCAGCGCCCGCTGGTGGGCGGTGGCTCGCGAGGTCCAGGGTCGGCTGCCATGAGGGCGGGACGTTCCAGCCCCACATGATAGGGCCCTGCCTGGCCACCCCATCGAGCCTAATCGCAGCGCGGCAGTCGGCGGCGACCGTGTGGCCGAAGAAGGCAGGCGAGCACCTCGGTGCGTCGTGCTCGCTGCCCTTGGCGTCGTGGGGCCTGTGCGAGTCGCCCTGGGCGAAGCCCCGCTGGGCCCTCTCGAGCGTGAGGGCCAGCGCGCTGGTCGGCTTCTTCACCATGCGCCAGGGGTGCCTCGCCCGCTGGATGGCCAGGCCCCTGGCCAGGCAGGAGCGGGCAGCCGCGTCGGGCAGCAGGGGGGCCCAGACCATCTCCGCGTAGCCGATGAGCGCCGTCTCGGTGATGATGACCAGCGGGCCGCGCTTCCAGCCGTTCCACTGGGAGAGGCAGGCCAGCCCCAGGGCCGCACCTCGCGGCAGGCGGCCTCGCGCCTCGACGGCGCCCACTCGCAGCTGGCGGAGCCGCCCGTTGGGAACTCCCATGATGGCGGGGCCCCATGTGGCTTTGGCCGTCGGCCCTTCCGCGGTAGACGCGGGCGCGATCCAGCCATGGCCTGAAGAGCCTGGTAAGCTTCCGTCCTTGGGCCTTGGCCTGCCTCTCGCGGCCTGCCCGGTCGCTCTGCGGCATGGCTCCGAAGCAGCGTCGCCTCCGAAGTCGCGGTGGCAGTCCGCTATGTCCTCCGGCCCGAGGTCCCAGCCAGGCTGTCGCAGCTCGCGCAAGGCCTTGCTGGTGGCCAGCGCCTTGGTCTTGTGCCTGCTCAGCGGCAGGTGGGCCTCCTCCACCCTGGTGCAGAAGGCTCTGAGCGTGGCCCCCAGCTGCTGCGCCGCCATGGTGAGCAATCCCGCCACGTGCGCCGAGGCGTCGCCCACCACGTTGAGCACCCTGATGATGGGAGCCGCCACCGCTGCCGCTCGCAGGGCGGGGGGCAGGAGGAGCTTGGCCAGGGCGGCGGCGCAGGAGCAGCCAGCAACCACCGTGCCGTTGGCTGGGCATGTGCCGATACGCGCCCTCCTTGGAGCCAAGCACGTGCAGCAGAGGGCCTTGAGCAGGACTATGTCAAAGCCCCAAGCCTGAGCAACGACCCGAAGCTCTTCGCATCCGATGTGCTCGTAATGCTTAGACAACTCAATGTAGAAGGAGGCCGCTTTCTCCTGGGAGCCCTTAGCGTGGCCCACGAAGACGTTGGGAAGCCAAGCCGCTTTGTCGCCGCCCCTGGCCGAGGAAGTGCCCTAAAAGGCCGACTGGTCGATGGTACGCACCTGCCCATCTGGAGCAGCCCTTCTTGCAGATGCGCGACCAGATCCTGGCCAGCACCGGCGGTAGCTCAATGGGCCGCTCTCCGCCGTCAGATTTCGGCTGGAAGACCCCAGAGCTCGACGCAGTAGGGGCTGCGCTCCCAGGCGCAGCAGGCTTGCCAATATGAGCAGCAAGTCGTCGCCGACCTCCACCAAGAATCTCGGGTTGAAGTTATCCCGCCCCAGCCCCGCGCTTGGAGAACTTGCGGGCCGTCAGATATCGTCCACCGTGATGTGCTGCAGCGACCAACCGCTGACCTGCCAGGAGGCTGGGTGCTCCTGAGCGTCGCGGCGGGGATTGGCCCAGAGTGGGAACCAGTCCGCCAGCACCTTCTCTAGCGCTGGCTGGCCAACTATCGCAAGGTCGGCCGTCCCACGCTCCAGGATGGGCGCAGGCTCGCCGTGGGTCTTCTTGGAGACCTTCTGGGCGATGGAGCCCCGGCGCTCGAAGGCCTCATCAATGAACTCGTCCCACTTCAGATTGCTGGCCTTGGCGTCCTCCTTGGTGCGGTTGTCCACGATCTGCCCGATCTTGGTAAGGAGCTGGTAGCCAGTGGCCGTTTGGTGGGTGATCTCGTCAGAAGCTGTCGAAGACCCTGCCGTCGAACATGCTGATGTCCTGGGCCTGGAAGTAGGAGGAGGAGGAGGAGGAGGAGGAGGAGGAGGAGGAGGAGGAGGAGGAGGAGGAGGAGGAGGAGAAGGGGGAGGCGGAGGAGGAAGATGAGGAGGAACGAGCGTGAGGGGGAGGCACAAAATGCCGGATTGTCTTTGAGCCAGGTGGGGGGCGACACCGGGGACCCTGAGGTACCCCCTCAGCGGGGCTCGGCGTCCTCCCAAGCCATTCAGCGCAAAGTCGGAGCCAATGCACCGTCATTGTATTTGCGCTTGTCTCGGATCTTCCTTCTGCTTTGCCACCCGTCTCGCGTCAAGAGCCTTTCTGCCTAGGTGACTTGGCGGGGCACCAGGGGCCGAGCATCCCCTCCTCCAGATCCGCCCGCCATTCGAAAATCCACGACTTTGCCATGAACGTCTGGGCCGTGCTGTCTCCGTGCAGATGGGGCAATCGCATTGTGCTGTAATGTACGTCTCGTTTTGTTTCATTCTTGTTGCCCCTGCTCCTCACCTCCGCTTCCCTCTGCACGAGAGCGGCCCTTATTCGTCATGGATTACCTTTTGGCTCATGCGAGTTGTTCAGGAGCCGAATTCGCAATCGCAATATTTAGGCTGGTGCTCAAGCCAGGCTGAGCCACGGACAAGAAGATATCTCAGATACAGGCAAGCGCACAACGTTGGGGTGCGTGATTGCGAGGGCGACGGCATATATAGACGCAACACAAAGACGATCATCATCTCCATTCACGTCTGCATCACTGTCGTGTCGTAGTGTGAACCTGCTGCTCATCACAGGAGTACGAAGAGGAGGAGGAGAAGGAGGAGGAGGAGGAGGAGGAGGAGGAGGAGCAAGAGGAGGAGGAGGAGAAGGAGAGTAGGAGGGAGGGGGAGGAACGAATCTTGGAGCGACTTCCTCCTCCACCTCTCTCTCCTCCTCCTCCTCCTCCTCCTCCTCCTCTTCCTTCGGCATGAGAGAAAACGATCCTTGTGGACACGGGTCTTAGACCCAAGGGCGTCCACTGGCCAGGTGAGCCCCCCCCACGGAGGCTTGTCCTCCTGAACCCGTTTTCATGACGTCGTCGTCGTGTCGTCGTCGTCGTCGTCGTCGTCGTCGTCGTCGTCGTCGTCGTCGTCGACGTCGTAGGCGTCGTCGTGGTCGTGGTCGTGGACGTGGTCGTGGTCGTGGTCGTGGTCGTGGTCGTGGTGGTGGTCGTGGCCGTCGCCGTCGTCGTCGTCGTCGTCGTCGTCGTCGTCGTCGTTCTCGTCCTTCGCGTCCGCGTCGTCATCGCCCTCCTCCTCCTCCTCCTCCTCCTCCTCCTCCTCCCTCTCCCCCTCCCCCCCCCTCCTCGCCTCCTCCTCCTCCTCTTCCTCCTCCTCTTCCTCCTCCTCCTCCTCCTCGTCTTCCTCCTCCTCGTCCTCCTCCTCCGCGTCACCCTACCGCCCCGGAGCACCCGCGCCGTCGGGCGGCCGCGACGTGCCGCACTTGCGGCACTGGTGGTTGTGGCCGAAGACGTGGTAGCCGCAGGACGGGCACGTCCAGTCCAGGCTGCGGTCTGCGCCCCGGGCGTCTCGGGGCCCCCTCTGCTCGTCCTCGTCGTCCTCGCCCTCGTCCTGCTCGCCCTCGTCCTGCTCGCCCTCCTCGTCCTCCCTCCCTCTTCTCTTCTCTTCCTGCTTCTCCCTCTGCTGCTGCTGCTCCTCCTCCTCTCTCCTGTTTGCCCCCTCCTCTCCCCTCCTCCCTCCTCCATCCATGACGTCAGCTTCGTCGTCACCCTCGCCCTCCTCCTCCTCCTCCTCCTCCTCCTCCTCCTCCTCCTCAGGTCCTCTCCCACTTCCCATCATTGTTCTTGCCCCCTCCCTTGTCCTTGACGCCGTCCCTTTCCCAATCGCTTTCTCCCTCGCTTCCGCCCTGCTCTTCCCAATCCATCTCTCTCATTCCCTCATTCTCTCTCATTCTCGTTGTGTTGTGTTCTGTTCTGTGCAGCTGCTATGATTTCTCATCATCATTATCATTATCTCTCTTTCTCTCACTCTCGTTGGGGGGGATCGGTTAGGAGGGGAGGGTCCACATGTTAGCGCACGACGCCAATGTTGCCCAGGGCTGGACAACAAGCCTGCGGCGTCGGAGCTCTCGCCACGTCTCACGACGAAGGACTCCCGCTGCGGTGCGCGAGGGAAGAAGAGAGGGAGGAGGCTGGCGAACTGCAGAGGCGGGCAGGGAAAGAGAGAGAGAGAGAGAGAGAGGGCGAGGGCAGGAGAGAGGGGGGAGCGGGGGCGTCGACGCCGACAGGGGAGGCGCGGTGGTCGTGGGAGTGGTAGTCGTGGCTGTGGTCGTGGTGGTCGTGGTGGTCGTGGCAGGTGTAGTGGTGGTCGTGCTCGTGGTAGTGGTCGTCGCGGTGGTGGTCGTGGAGGTCGTGGGTGCAGGAGTGGGCCGGGGCGAACTGCCGCGTTGCCCCTGGGGGGCAGGGATCCCTGCGGGTGCGCCTCGGGAAGCGAGGAGCCCTGCGAGCGTGCCGTCCCGGAGGGCCAGAGCTCACCCGCCGCCGGCTCTGGGGAAAGAGGGCTGCCACGCTGCCCTCTAGGAGCATGCGGCCCTTGGGATCCCGCCCTCCACGCCGCCCCCCCCCCCCCACGGCGTCGCCACGAGCGCTCGCGCGGCTCCTCAAACTGCGCTGCGAAACATCTCTCTCTCTCTCTCTCTTTCTCTTCTCCGGCTTCGCTTCCCCCTTCTCCGTCTTTCACATCATGTCCCTCTCCCCTCTCCCTCCCCCTCCCTGTCCTTCTTCGCCTCCTCCTCTCCCTCTCAGCCTTCCGCTCTCCCGCTCCCTCTGCGTATCCCTTTCTCTCTCTGTCCTCGTCTCCGCCTCCGTCTCCACGCCTCTCGTTTTCCATCTCATTCCCTCGCCGTCCGCCCTCTCCCTCCACCCTCTCTCTTCTCTGCACCGACATCTCGAAAACCTTCACCCGTCACCGCCGTCACCCCCTCTCGTTCTTCTCGTTCCTCCCACCCCTCTTCTCGCTGCCGCGTGCAGACCGCCTCAGAGGGCACACCTCGCTCGGGCGGACGTGGAGGAGGAGGAGGAGGAGGAGGAGGAGGAGGAGGAGGAGGAGGAGGAGGAGGAGGAGGAGGAGGAGGAGGAGGAGGAGGAGGAGGATACTTTCTCCTCGACCTCCCCCTGCATCTTCTCCCTCCCACGGGGTGCCTCCGTACCCCGCAGGCCGCTGCTGCTGAACCTCTGCTTGCTGCTGCTGCGCCGCGCCGAACCGACTTGCTGGTGGCCCGCTGCCGCGGGTCCTGCGCCCCCCCCGGGGGGGAGGACTGATGGAGAGAAGAGTGAGGCCCCCCCCCCTCCTCCTCCTCCCTCCTCCTCCTCTCCTCCTCTCCTCCTCCTCCTCCTCCTCCTCCTCCTCCTCCTCCTCCTCCTCCTCCTCCTCCTCCTCCCCCTCCCTCCTCCCCCCTGAGCTGCTTGATACCGTCACCTCGCAGCTGGGCTTCGCCTCGCGCTCTCCCCCGCGTCACACCGAGCTTTTCAAGTGGGCCGTGAAGGATGTAGCACGCGAGGTGCGCGACCGCTTTCTCCGTTCTGACCCTGCGGACTTGGGCTCTCAACTTCTTCTGGGGGAGGAGGGCACAGGGCGCACAGTGCCGGAGGGATGGGGACACGGACATGGGCAGACAGCGTGGATGTCTGTGTAGAGTGTAACTCCAGCCACATGATCGGCGCAGCAGATGCGCAAGTACAATGTATGTATTAGTATGCCGAGAGAGGGAGGGAGAGAGATACTGGGAGAGGAACGCAATCCATATACACACACTGATATCTACACATATATATATATATATACTAGAACCACGCGCGCGCTTCGCGCGCGCTTAGGTTCTAGCTAGGATCGTCACCGTCGTCATCATGAACATCACCATCGCCATCATTCCCCCCGCCAGGGCTAATGTACATCGTTTCTGGATGCTTCTGGCCGGAATACGAAAGGAGTTTCTGTAGTTAGAGTCTCTGGGGGAAGTCGCGGGGAAGCTTTTGTTGTCTTTGGTGTTGCGTCGCCAGGAGGTCTGGGCTCCCTCCTCCTCGTGTTCCTACCTCCTCTCTGGACGTCCGATGTCGTGATGCTTTCTGTGCGCGGCCCCTGGACCTCTCGACGACTTCCTGGGGATGTGTTTTTTTTTCATCCTGAGTCGTTTTCTGACGGTCCCGGGACCCTGCGAGGGGCCCCGGAGGCCGAAAATTGACCGAAACCGCCGTCGTGATTTTTCCAAGACGTCGGAGGTCCAGGTCGTGCTTCCCGCCTCCCCAGACCTCCGACGTCGTAATTTTTGCGACCTCGGGCCCAGGAATCGATTGGGAAAACGCACATGGGAAGGCAAGAAATGATGGACCCATCATTTCGTACCTGTGCCTTGATCAGTGGGACGGGCTTCGCACCGCCGCACATCACAAGACACGCTCGAGCGGATCCAGCCGTGGCGACGTCGGGGACTGCAGAAGGTCGCAAGGACACGGAATCTGAAAGGAAGAAAGAGAAAGAGAGAGAAAGAGAGAGAGAGAGAGAGAGAGAGAGACAGACAGACAGAGAGCGAGAGAGAGAGAGAGAGAGAGATGGAGAGAGAGAGAGAGAGAAGAAGACAGAGAGAGAGAGAGAGAGGCAGAGAGAGGAAATGGAGAGGAGGCGAGCTTGAGTCAACGAAAGTCGCAGGGAAGGGGGCAGGGGGAAGAAGGCCAGAGAGCGCTGAAGGATACAAATACTGGAACCCTCTTGGGATTTTTTGGGGGGCCTCGTCCGGCCGCTCGCTGGGAGTTTGACGTAGCTTCTTGTGAGCCTCTGAACCTGTCGGGGGCCTCCTGGAAGCAGGTTCGAAGCATTGTGGGGGCCGATTTGGGGCTTCTCGGGGCCTCCTTTGGGCCTCTTGGGGGTCTCCTGGGGCCTCTTGAGGGGCCTCCTGGGGGCCTCCTGGCGGCCTCTTGGGGCGGAAGGCTCGAGCTTGCGGTTCGTGGTCCCCCTCTGGGCCCCCTCTTGGGCCCGTCTTGGGGCCCTCTTGGGCCATCTTGGGCGCCTCTTGGGCCGTCTTGGGGCCCTCTTGGGCTGTCCTGGGGCCCTCTTGGAAGCTTCTTGGGCCGTCTTGGGGCGGTCTTGGGCGCCTCTTGGGCCGTCCTGTAACGTCGGAAAGCCCAAAAGACAACTTTGTTGAAAATGTACGTTTTACGAAGGGAATGGGCCAATTTTTGCGTCTAGGGGCCCTCTTGGGACGCATGTTGGAGGCTTCTTGGGGCCTCTTGGGGGCGTCCTTGGACGTCTGGAGGCCATCTTCAGCATCTCGGAGCCCTCTTGGAGGCCTCTTGGAAGTTTCTTGGGCCGTCTTGGGCGCTTCTGGGGCCGTCTTGTCTGACCGGGGAGGCCTCCGGCAAGCCCCGACGAGCCTCCGGGCCCCCCGGGGTGCACATTTGTGGTCGAGGTCCCGGCCCCGGGCCCCCGGACCCGGTGCGCCGTTATATGTATATACACATATCACCACGCTCGATCATGCTGCCCATCGACGTTCATGATAACGTGCGGTCGATGGCGATACACGTCGGTCGGATGAAGTCGGTAGAAGCATGGAGTAGGAATGCGTTGGAAGTAGGTTGGATCTCCACCCGCACCCTGAAGAGGCGGGAAGAAGGAAACCACTCGACCCTTGAAGTAGGAAGGCGCCTAAAGTAGATTGGAATCTGTGAATCCCGAAACACCTACTTTCAACGACCGGCATCTACTCTTCGCCAACGGTGACGATGCTGACTGTCGCCATGATGCGCCCGCCCCTCCGCACCTGCATCGGCTGGCCGGGGCGTGCCGCACTTTCTGCACTCCACGTTGCGCGCGAAGTTGAGGTCCGAGCAGCTGGGGCAGTTCCAATCGCCTGGGAGCGACTCGGCCCCTCCTCGATTACGAACTTCGGCCGCGATCCGGAATCTGGATCTCCTCATCCTCGTGTTCGTCGTGATCGTCGTCATCGCCCTCATCCTTCCCGTTTGCCTTTTGCACCTTCCTGCTCCGTTCCCCATGCTTCCTCCTCCTGCTTCTCCTCCTGCTCCCCCTCCTGCTCCTCCTCCTCCGCCTCCTCCTCCTCCTCCTCCTCCTCCTCCTCCTCCTCCACCCCCCCACATCCCCCCCTCCCCCTCCTCCTCCTCGCTCCTCCTCCTCCTCCTCCTCCTCCTCCTCCTCCTCCCTCCTCCTCCTCTCCTCCTCCTCCTCCTCCACACCCCTCCCCCTCCCCCCTCCCCCTCCTCCTCCTCCTCCCTCCATCCTCCTCCTCCTCCTCTCCTCCTCCTCCTCCTCCTCCTCCTCCTCCTCCTCCTCCTCCTCCTCCTCTGGGGAGGGGGGGGGCGGCACCCGCACCGCGAGACGGGCAGAGAGCCCACCGCACCCCAAGCCGCGCCGGGCGGGCACGGCGCCGCGAGGAGCGCGCCTCCGCGTCGTCGGCGGGGCTGCCCGCCGCCGGGGGCGCGGGGCGCTCGAGACACCTCGTCGGCCCCAGCCGGGGCCGCCTCGCCACCGCCGACGGCCGCCTCGCCGCGGCTGCCGGCGGAGGGCGCCGCGGGCTGCCCGCCTGCAGGCCAGCGCCGCGCAGCTCCCGAGCCGCCGCCGCCGGCTCGCGTGAGCATCGTTGAAGGGGCCCAAGGACACACAAATAAATACACACACAAATAAGCACACTCCCCTTATTTTCCCAATACTTTTATGTTTTTTTTTTTTTGGTCTTCCCACCCAAATTCCCATTTTTTCCCCTATTCTCTTGGGGATCGACGATTCATTGTGTCTGTGCTTTTGTGTTTTCCCCCCTCCCGAATCGTCGAATCGATCCCTGCCCCCACTGGCGTGGCCTTGGCCCCGCCGGCCGACTCGCCCACCCAGGCGGGGCGGCATGCCCGCTCCCTCGCGCTCCGCGGGGCCCGCCCCCGCCTGGGAGGGCGGGCCGGTGGGGCCGAGACGCCGTGGCCCCGTGGGGACGGGGCTGCAGTCGGGGCTGCCGAAGGAGGGAACGACCGACCCCAGACCCCCTCGCGTCGTGAAAAAATCACGACGGACAATTTTTCGCTATTTTTGCCCTCCGGAGGTCCTCACCAGGCCGCGGGAGCATCAAAAAACTACTCAGGACGAAAAACCGGTCCCAGGGAATGGGTCGAGACCTCGGGGGGTCGACGTCATAAAAAAATCATGACGTCGGGGGTCTGGGGTCGGGGCTGCCGAAGGAGGGAACGACCGACAGGGAACGAAGCCCCCCTTTTTTGGCCCCAGGAGCGCCCGCGTGCACGAGGGGGGCGAGAGGAGCCGCCGTGGAGGGAGCTCAGGAGCCTCGAGCCTCCTCCGAAGCCGAACCTCGTCCTTCGTTCCCACGTCTTGGCTGCGAGGTGCGATCGCGTGCTGCACGAGGGGGGCGAGAGGAACCGCCGTGGAGGGAGCTCAGGAACCTCGAACCTCCTCCGAACCCGAACCTCGTCCTTCGTTCCCAGACCCCCGACGTAATGATTTTTTCATTACGTCGACCCCCAGATGTCCCGACCCCTTCCCCATGACCGGCTTTGCATCCTGAGTCGTTTTTTGACGCTCCCGAGGCCCGGTGAGGGCCGTCGGAGGCTGAAAATTAGGAAAAACCTCCCGTCATGATTTTTTCATTGCTCGAGGGGGTCCGGGTTCCCACGTCTTGGCTGCGAGGTGCGATCGCGTGCCGACCGCGCGCGGCTCGGCCGCCGCGGGGTGCGCCGCGGAGCGGCGGGGCGAGGCCGCGGCCTGGCCTGCGGCGCCGGGCGGCAGGGGCCCGCCGCGGCCCTCGGCGGCGGAGCGGCCGCCGCAGGCCCGCCGCAGGCCCGCCGCAGGCAGGCGCTGCCGTCGAGGCGTCGCCAGCGCAGCACGACGGTCCATCATCGCTCGTCGTCGTCGTCGTCGTTCCTCCGTCGTCGTCGTCACGTCCGTCGTTCTCCTCCTTCCTCCTCCTCCTCCTACCCTCCTCCTCCTACCTGCCTACCTGCCTACCTGCCTACCTGCCTACCTGCCTCCCTCCATTCCTCCGCGCCTCCCTCCGCCACGGCCTCACCCGCTATGCTCCGTGAGAGGCCCGGGCGGCCGCCCGAAAGAGCTTCCCGATCCGATCGGGGATCCCTCTCTGCGCCCAGCCTCCAAGATCGGTCAGTATCGAATCGGAATGCAGTCAATCCGTATACGAAGCACGCACGAGGAGGCTCGCAGGGGCATTGGAAGGCCGTGCCGACCCTCAGCGGGCGGGGCGCGGCCAGCGAAAGCGGCCCAGGACGGGCCGAAGGGGAAGGATGCCAGGGTAGCCCTGGGGAGGTTGCCAATCCTCGCTATGCGGGTTGACTGCAACCATCGGGACCGATTCGGAACGCATGTCGGGTCGGGCCGCCTGGGCACAGAGTCGGGATCGAATGGGAGCGGCTGCGCCAAGATGCACAACAGCGCCATGAAAACATCGGGCCGCATCGGAGCGGCGAGACATCGAACCTGCGAATCGGATCGAGCCGGCCGGAATCGATGCCGACTGCGCTCGATCGGGTCGAGGTGGACCCCGTGCTCTCTCTGCCGCTCCCTCTCTCCCTTCACAGCCCGGCGGGCCTGGGGCAGGCGTCCACTGCGGGGTGCCCGCGCCCTCTGGCTTGGCCCACGCGTCCACCTGCAATGCCTTCGGGCGGCCGAGTGGGGAGGAGGCGGGAGGGAGCGATGACTCGGCGACGAGCGAGGGGGGGAAACTGAGAAGGAGGAGGCCTTCTCAGAAGGCGGCGGGACTTCTCAGACGCCCTCGCGCCTTCTGAGAAGCTTTCTGTGTCTTCGGGGAAGGCTTAGAAAACTTCTCAGAAGGCCCGGGGACTTCCGAACCTTCTAAGAGGGCACGCCTCTTCTCACTTCCCCCCCTTGCTCGCCGCCGGACGAAGGACGGAGGCGGAAACAGCCCAAGAGGAAGGGGAGGACGAGGCAGAGCAGACGGATGGGGGAGGAAGAGGACGACGAACAGGAGCATGATCGGGATGAGCACAGTGAGACCATGAGAAGTCGACCAGGATCCATGCCTTCCGCGAAGACTAATGCCTCCGACTCTGCGCTGGCAACGCGCTCTGACCGCTTCCGTACGCGGTCGCGGCGAGGGCAGCAGGGCTCGCACCCTGCCCGGTCGGCATGAGCCACGGCCCCCGCACGCTGAGGCTCGCAGCCTGCCCCGACGGCGTGCGCCAAGGCCGTCAGCCCGAACGAAGCCCGCACTCTGCCCTGCTGGCGTGCTGCCACGGCCTCGGGCTCGCACTCTGCCCGCACCTCGTTCCTCCCGGTCCCCGATGGCCTTTTCCGGCGCGGGGCCATCGGCGCGAGGATCGCTCCGAGGGCGCAGCGCGCCCTCGGACACTGCCGCTCGCCCCGCACCGGGTGAGCCGTGCTGGCTGGTTGCCGCTGGCGCGTGCGGCAGCCTCTGCCCTGGGGCTCTGCGGCAGCCTCTGCGGCAGCCTCTGCGGCATGCGCGTGCGGCAGCCTCTGAGGCTGGCGCGTGCGGCAGCCTCTGCGGCATGCGCCACGGCCATCGCTCTGGGGCTCTGCCCCTGCACTGCTCGCAAAAGGAGCTCTGCCCACACGCCGCACGGCTGGCGCGCTGCCCTCCACGGCACGTGCCACGGCCTGGGCCCGGGGCGCTCGCAAGCCCTGCCGTCGCGTGCCCCCGCTGGCTCGAAGAGCTGGCGTGCCGCGAGCGCACCGCGCAAGCCGCTGCGGCTGCACCGAAGCAGAACGCCTCGCCTCAGCTCGGGGGCCGCCCCGCCCAGAGGATCCCGGAAGGCGCGGCGCCCGAGCGAGCGCAGGCGCAGGAGAAGGGCCCGCACCGGCGCCTGGCTTCCGCGCGACTCGCGCACCGCTCGCACCACTGGCGGCCAGGGCGGCGCGCGGCGCGGCATGCGGCGCTGGCGTGACGCTCGCCTCGACCTCCTCCCGCCTTCGCCCTTCCCTCCCTCCCCTCCTCCCTCCTCCTCTCTCCTCCCTCCCATCCCCCCTCCCTCCCCCTCTCCCCCCCTCTCTTTCTGCCTCCCTCCCCCCCCCCTCCTCCTCGACCGCGCGGTGGCGGCGGCCTGGCCGCCGAGCTCCGTGCCGTTGAGGGTGCTGATGGCAATCATCGCCTCCTTGCCCAGGCGATCGCCGCCGGCACCGTCGCCCCGACCGCCGCCGCTGCCATCGCGATCGCCGCGGCAAGCACCACATCCACGGTCGCTGGCGTCCAGAGCAGCGCCCGCCACCGCCACGCTGCCGCCGCTGCCGCCGCTGCCACCGCGAAGGGGCACACTGTGCGGCGTCGCGCGCCTGCCCCCGCGTCACGTTGCAGTGCACCATGCCGCCATGCAGTGGAGGCTCTGCTCGCTTGCGATCATGACGCCCCTCCCACACAGAAATCCCCCGCCCGAAGGGCTGCGACCAATTATCGGACCTGGGTTCTCTTTTTCGCCGTCGTGGTCTAGCCAGCAGCAGCAGCAGCAGTCATACCATGAATGCTGGCACTGCCAAGACTGCGAACACACCAAATACAACGATCAATCATTCGGAACTTGATGGGGGAACGCCGATGCGAAACGAAGTCCCCAGACCAGGACATCGATTTCGGATGTAGTTCGCGAATGACGCGCGTGCAGGCGACGCCAAACTTTGCTAGCTCTGAGCCGGAACGATGGTGAAGGATAGGCGTCAGGAGGGAAACATCGACCTGGAATCGGTGACACATCGCCGATAGATAGGCGATAGGCCCCCCTTAGCGAATCCGCTGGGCAAGTTGGGGCTATCGGGTCCCCATCGGCGATCAATGGGCGATTTGGGGGTCGATGCATTCCCCCCTGTGCCCATCGCCCCCTATCGTTGCCCCTGAAGTTCCTGCACCGGCGAAGCCCCGGGGGCGCAGGGGCGTGCGCGAGGGCTGTCCCGCGGTCTCCCCGCGGTGGTTGTCCCGGTGGTTGTGCAGCGGATGTCCCGATGGCTGTTCCGTCTGTTTCCCGATGGTTGTCCCGATGGTTGTGCCGTGATTGTCCCAGGATTGTCCCGTGGTCTCCGATGGCAAGCCGTTCCAGAACAACTCCCCCCCCCAAACCTCATCAATCGCAGGGTGATCTCAGATGTAGTTCTGGTCATCACTACCACAGCTGCTGTCATTTGCTATCAAAGCCTGACTACATGCTATTATTTGGGAGTGTTCCAGTCTTATCAATGGTCGCATCTATGGTACCAAATCCATCCCTCGCGCTGCGGTGCTTGGTCGTGCAGTCTGCTTTGCTTACCACCTCGAGCGATCAAAAGCCTGCGTGAAGTGGTCCGAGCGTGACTGGTGCCAAGGCAGAGCATGTATGTGCTAACCAAGTGTCAAACAGTGTAGTAACAACATCAATAACAACACTCGCAAACGTCGCCACGCTACCACTGATTGTGGCAATATGGGCAATTAGTACATTGCGTAATCATCATTCGTACGGACGCTCTGTCGTAAACAACCCTTGGCATGGTAGTGAATGCGGAGATCGTGTGGTACGTGGTGGTAGTGGTGTAAGGACGGTCAACAATTCATCGGTTCATCGGATCGTATCGGAACGGGCTTCGAATCGGGCTGCATCGTCGCGGAGCCGGAATCGAATCGAAGCGGTCGTGCCGGGAAGACACACAAGAACACCCTGCAAACACTCGGCCGCATCGGATCGTCGGAATATCGGAATCGATTCGGGCTGAGGAGGAGGAGGAGGAGGAGGAGGAGGAGGAGGAAGAGGAGGAGGAGGAGGAGGAGGAGGAGGTCGGATCGGATCGATCGGATCGAAATGGGCCCTGTGGTAGTAGCAGCAGCCCGCCTCCGTACCGTCGGCACGCCTGGGCTTCCTGGAATAGGTGGACGCCTGTGCCCCAAGCAGTGCGTGCACCTAGGGATTCTTACCTGTGTTCGAAGGAACTGGGCCTGTGTGGCGGTCCTGTGGCTGTGTCGTCGCCGTCGCCGCCCTTTCGCCGCCTCGTCGCCGCCCGTCGTCTGGGCCTGTGAGGAGGTCTGGCGACCATGTCGTTGCCGTCGCCGCCCAATCGCCGCCCGTCGTCTGGACCTGCTCTGGTGGCTATGTCGCCGCAGTCGCCGCCTCGTCGCCGCCCGCTTTGCATTGCTTTGCATTAGTTGCCTTGCAGTGTTTTGCATTGCTTGGTATTGTTTTGAATTGCCGTGCATTGCCATGCATTCAGTTGCATTGATTTGAGCTTTTTCGCATTGCGTTGCATGAATTTGAATTGTTTTCTTCGCTCGCGTAGATTACTCAAGACATCTCGCTCCACATAGATTGCACCACATATCCTGCACAACCTAGGTTGCACAACATACAGTGTACAACTTAAAGTGCATTACATACATCACACATAATGTGATGAACCACGCAAACTGCCCCACAAAGCATCACACACATTGCACAGCATGGACAGCATCATATATACTGCATCAAATAAACCGCACAACATATATTTCACATCGTAGCTTCTACACCGTAGCTTGCACACCACATATTGCACCACACACATTGCACCGCATAGGTTGCTCTACATAAATACCACACACCTTGCACGTCATACAGTGCACCACATATATTGCACAACGAAGATTTGACAACTTGCACAGCGCATATTGCACTAGCTGTATTGGACAGTGGTTGCGCCACACATGTTCCACATATATTGCTAGAAACGCACTGCTTGATGTCCACGCGGGCTAGCATTTTCCCATCGTGATCGCGGAACGCCATCCCCATAACATCGCCTCTCGTTTTGCTCTCCATTACCCCTTCCGTTCCATACCACTCCAAGACAAGATGGTTCAACCGAGTCTCTCCAGGGCAGCTCGGGAAAACCATCGCGCCCTTCACGGCCCCGAGACCCCCAACGAGCCCCCTCAAACAGCCGCCGCCGCTTCTGCCGCCGCTGCTGCTCCTTCTGCTGCTGCTGCCGCTGCTCCTCCTCCTGCCTGCTTGCTGCTGCTCCTGGAGGGTCTCGAGGCGAATCCAGCCGAAGGCGAAGGTCCGAAAAGGAGAAAAACGTTGAAATTCTCCTCCGCCGCCCCCCAGCTCTCCCCTCCCCTAGAGGCCTCCTGGGTGGGGTCGGAGTAGATGGGGTTGGAGGATCGCGCCGCATCCCGTGTGCATCGGCGATGCACTGG